GCTAAAACTGGACCATGTATCTGTCCACACTACATTAGAAAAATACTGCCATGTAGACTAAACTATTCATTAGTCAACTTAATTGGATTGCTAAAAAAATATTCTTGCAAAAGCAATGCACTTTACATGAACTTAATTGATTGCTAAAAAATATTCTTGCAAAAGCTAATCTGATTGATGAAAACATTGAAATGATATGGCAGAAACTGCAGTATCATTTGTTTTACAAGAACTAGGCCAATTTGTAATAAAAGAAACTAGCCAATATACAGTAGAAGAAAGAAATTCAGTAGCAGGGATTGAAAGAGACTTCAATGATATCAAAGATGAACTTGAGAGCATCCAAGCCTTCCTCAAGGATGCAGACACAAAGGCTGCTGATGATGATGATGGATCCAATGGAGTCAAAACTTGGGTGAAGCAGGTGAGAGAAGCGTCTTTTCGCATAGAAGATGTGATTGATTACTACGACATGTTTTTGGCAGAGAGGGCCAGTCATTCTATATTCAGATCTGCACTCCAAATGATTCCTGGTTTGATCAAAACCATGAATCCGCATCACCAGATTGCTTCTGAGATTCAAGACATCAAGTTATCACTTGGTAGAATCAAAGAAAGAAGTACAAGGTTCGAGTTTCTGTCTGAAAATGAAGCAGGAAGGACTAAAGCTCCTAGAATTGGTGACCCTCGAGTTTCTAACATTGTCATCCAAATAAATTATAAGAGGTATAAATAAGGCATCAAGCAACCCTGGGAAAGTGGGAGAATGGAAATTTAGCAGATATATTATGTGAGAAAGTATGGATGCCAATACAGAGGCTAAACATGAAAAGCAAACCAAACCAGTAGCTCAGAATATGAGATTTTGATGAGGCATTTAAGTTCCGATGCCAAGAACACACAATTGAAATGTCTACAATCGATAAGAAAAATCAAATACCACAGGATTTAATTATATCATAAAAATCTTACCATTTGAACATGATATATCCAAAATAGCCATTTTATGCAAAAACAAAATAGTCCCCTAGAAGTTGATCAAAACACTTCAACAAAGCTTTTACAAATGGGAATCAGCTAAACAATGACAAAAACTCTTAAATATAAAGAGATGCTGAGATAGAAACTCTATCAATTTTTTCTTCAATAAACAGTTGTCATTTAAGAGTTTATGTAAAAACTATAAAAGAATCACTGATATGAAATTTCAATTCCAGGAGTGGTTCTAAGAATTTGTTATCAAAACCATATCCTCACGACAACATGCAAGTATAAGTAAAACTAGATTTATAATTTACCATCTGGAGATCACGACTAGATGGGGATGCAAACGAACATCATAGATGACTGACCTCTCAAACCACGGAATAACAAAATGTGTCCCTTCAGGATAAACCTGCATATCAAACAAGATACAAATTTAACTTCCAGCAAGAAACCCTAATTCGAAGCAACAAAATCAATACTACCACTCTTTCAATTAATCAATCTAAGCTAAAGAAACAATCATATAGCAAAAAAACGACCTTGTCTTTAACACCAACAAGACGGTTGAAAACAATAGCTCGGTGACCTCCTTCAACATTGTAAAGACTATTCCCAGCAACATACAAACCAATTCCACCAATAACTCCCAATTTCATCAGTGCAGAAGCAGCACCACCACCGGGAACATTCGGAACTTTCATCTTTTTCATATTCATTTACCTTTCCTCACTGAACACAAATTACAAATCAAACGATTGCATTAGCAAACGGCATTGATTACAGTTTCAGATTTCGCGCGAAAAGACGCGCACTATCCAAAATCAAAGAGCTTAAAACAAAGAAAGAAATTAAACTACACAAAATTTCACACAAACAAATGAAGAACTCGCAGATGAAGAAAATGTTAACTGAAAACCTAGAAGATTCTAGAACTGGAAATTGGGCCGAATGCCAGACCAGATGAATATAAGATGGTCCCAATTTTCTGAAAATGTGTTTTTTTTTTTTATCAATTAATTAATTAATTCATTATTATATATAACATAGCGCTTTTTAATAAATGCTATTATATAGGTAGTCAAATAATAGCGTTTTATACAAAATGCTATCTTAAAGAAGTTTAATAATAGCGTTCTGGTACAAAGTGCTATCATAATTACATAGTTTGTATTATATAATAGCGCCCGATTAAAAAGTGCTATTATAAATGTGTTTTTTCCATTTTAATAGCATTTTTTTTAAAAGTGCTATTAAATTAGGTGATACAAAAAATCATTTTTGGCGTAGTGAATGGATAACGATTGTACTTTCAAACCGACAATGTTGCCACTGAAGTGCAACAAAAATTCTACAAAATAAATGACTAAACAAAACTAACTCATTCTTTCCATTCAAATTCAAATTATTTAATTTTATTCTCCTTTTTTCTTTTCTTCATGAAGTTCAGATATTCATATGAAGGTGGTGTGCTTCCACCTGCTATAATAACTATTATTAAAAAACTATAAACTTCATTTAATTCAAAGTATATAATAATGTAATGAAGGTGTGATGATGTTTAATGTATCTCATCTCCCATCAACCATAGACATTGAAATTAATTTCCTTTCATTTTCTTAAGACGCTGCTGAATATTTAAGATTTTGAATCTCACCACATCTATTACACCTGTTTTTCTTCCATTGATAGTACATTTAAAAAAAATTGGTAGAATATCTGTGTGTTCACATAAGTATAGTTGGAATCGTGGAATTGTCATTAATTTATTATAGAAATTTAAATAAATTAAAAATATTAATAAAAAAATAAAAATAGACGAAGATAATTGTATACGTTTTTAAAAATTACTATTAAAAAAATTATTAAACACATCTTTTATAAAATATAATTGTGAAAAATAGAAAAAAAATATTGTTTGAGTTGATAAAAAAAATAAAAAAATTTATAAAATTTAATAAATAAGATAAATAAATACCCGAAATTAGAATTAGTTGAAAACCAATTAAAAAATAATTTTACATAAAAGTATTTAATATTGAATTCTTAATTATATTCATAACCATAAATTATTTTAATCCAATATTTAAAATATAATAATTAATTTTCATAACTTAATTAATTCTTAATTATTAAAAAAATATAGAATTAAAAAGATTAAAAAGATTAAAAAGATAATTAAAAAGATATTCGTCCGTTAATCTCTTTAAACTTCTATTTTAACAACAAAAAAAAAGACATTGTCGTCATCTTTAACCGCTTCTTCCCACTTTTCTAGCTGCATTTAAAAAAGGAGACTAAGAAACCAAAGTCACTAAACTTCTTCACAATAGTACTATCATAACAACCAACAAATCCAGAAAACTCTATAGGCCAAGAATAGGAACGTTTTGTCTTGGCATATAGTTTTCATTTTCGTAGCTTTTTAAACTATTTCGTTGTAAACAAATAATGTAGTTCCATTTTTAAGATTAAGAGAAAAATGACTCAAATTATTCAAAAATTGATGAGGTGGAGCAAGAAGCTACATGGATAAGATGATAATTTTCACAGCCTAGGATGTTCTTATATGGTAGATTGATGCTTTACTACTTGATTGATTTTAAATAATATTGATATATAGGGTTAGATATTAATAACTATTTTTGTAATTACAGTTATATTTTAAATAATAAAGAGTTTGGTTAGTCTTAAATTAATAAAAGTTATTAATTAAATCATTGAACTTAAAACACTACTCCCTCTATTTTTTTAATTGTAAGTAGCTTACTAGCATTAAAAAAACAAATTATAATATATTATAAATTATTTTACAATATTAATGAATCATTAATGATATTTTTTTATTATACTTTTAAATATTTATTATTTTCTTTTTTTAATTTTTTAAATATATCATTTTATGTCAATTTATGAAAGGCAATTTTATAAAATTTTCAAAATTTTACTTTTTCTTGTATAATTATAAATTTATTTTGTAATACGAGTGAAAATATCAAAAAAAAAAATAATTATTAATTATTAATTGAACTTAAATTTCGCATCGTCTACTTCCTCCAATTTTTTTATTATATACTGTTTTGAGAAAAAAGTTATAAAATTATATTATAATAATAATAAATTATTCATGATTTTTTTTATTATACTTTTAAATATTTAATATTTGCTTTTTTTAATTATTTAAAATTATTTTTTCAATACCATTATCAAAGAAAATTTTATAAATATTTTTATTTAATTTTATTTAATACTAATAATTATTATATTTCTTAATATGTGTGAAAATAGATTCATAATAAAAAATATAAATAATAATAGAATAAACTTAAAATTTTACTCAAATCGTAACTGAATTCCATTTATTTAATGTTTTTAGAAAATTATAAAATTGGCTTTAAAATCGATTAATTTAGATGACCAAACTTATTTGTCCATTAGTGCATGATTTAAATGTGAATTTAAATAAATTCATAGAATTAAAGTTAATATTAAAAGAGTTTAATTTATATTTTTTCCTAAACACCGACTAATTAATAAATAAATAAAATTGTTAAGCAAGGAATGAAGAAAGGGCCTCCTTTTGCAGTTTGTGTAATTGCAATATTTACTCCAAATTTCCAATTGTTGCATCCTTGTTGCTATTTTTCCAGACAATTAATACATTTCTTGGTCTTAATTTACACTCTTTTTTTCTACTCAATTCAATTCTTTTCTCTCTCTCTACTTTCTCTCTCTACACCTTACACCCTCCTCAATTAAATTAACCTTTAATTCACCCTTCATTTTCTTTGTATAAATTCCCCTTCAATCTCCTTCAATTCTCACATCAAAACCACACCACAACACTCTATTTTATTATTATTATTATTATTATTATCATTATTCCTTCTCAACCTTCTTCCACCTTCACCCGTGAGTTATCAATTTCATTTTCTTCTTATTCCTATTCCTTTTTCTCATCTCTTCTATTTTATTTATCTATTATGTGATTTTTCTTTTAGGCAGAAAAACAGAAGATGAGTAGAAGAAACGGAAGCGGGCCAAAGCTTGATTTGAAGCTGAACCTATCACCACCAAGAGTCGAACGAAGAAGAATGGATTCATCACCAACACGATCAGCTTCGGTGTCGCCGCCGAGTTCTTGTGTGTCATCAGAGAATGGACCAAACAGCCCCGAAGCAACCTCGATGCTACTCGTTGGTTGTCCTCGTTGTCTCATGTATGTCATGCTCTCCGAGAATGATCAAAAATGTCCCAAATGTGAAAGCACCGTTTTGCTTGATTTTCTCAACAACAATAAGAAAAATTAGCAGAAAACTGAGTTTGAAACAGAGTACTATGTTTCAAATCTCTCTTGTTTTTTTCTCAGAACTAGGAGTATTATATTATAATATTATTATTATAATATTATATATATTATTAGTATTAGAATTAATACTTTTTATTTAATCCTAGGAATATGTTATTTTATTTATAATTTACTATTTTAATGTTGTTATCTTTTCTATGAGTAGTGCTATTTGCGCTCTATTTTTACCATCTTTAAAAATATATATTAGTTTATCTTGAATTTTATTTTTATTTTTATTTTAGTACAGTTTTATTCAATTTTTTAATGTTTGACATCATCATTAAATAAAAAATAAAGCCAACAAAAGTAACATTGAATATATATATCAGTATATAGAATTATAGATCCTCTGAAGTACTAAAAGGTAACAGTTGAAAGTTAAAAATATTTAAATATTAAGGCCCACCAAACCTATGTTTGCAATCTAGTACACTTTCCATCAAATATTTTATTCATATGCATTTTAATTTATATAAAAAAAAATATTCATGTTGATTTGACCAAAAGAATAAAAAATTAAAAGTTGGAGTATTAAACTAATTAGAAAGAGAATTGCATTGCAAGTTGAAAATCAAGAAGAAATGGTTGGCAACTAATGAGGGTAATTAAATGTGAAAGTTGACTTTATTAAATTTTGCTTGTTAGTTACAATTTAAGATAAGCTAATTTTTTAATCATCATAGATAAATTAATTTTATAATTTCATTCAAATCTTATGTAACCATGATCCAAGAGCATTATTTTACAATAATATTTATTTTTCATTTATAAAAATTAGTTTAGTCGATAATCAAATTCTATTTACCTAAAAAAATTAAATAAATTTCTTATTTAATTTTCATATTAAGAAAGTATAATATTTAATATATTTTTTGTAAATCATGTGTATGCACGAGTATAATGAGAGTAATAGTATAATGAGAGTAATAGTGTGAGTTAAGAAGAGTGGGAAATTAGAAAACAATGGATGATATAGAGAGTGGGTTGGGTTGGGTAGTTCCAAGCATTGAAAAATAATGGCCATTCTATTAAGACCATTTAAATCACATAAATGCAAGAGTAATTGAGACAGTTGAGCATAATGAGGAGATATTACTTCAGATGATAAATGCCAACCTTTTTTTCCACCTATTTTTCTTTTCAATAAAATCGCTTTTGTAATAATCAAATAAGTGCTTAATGAATAATTTGATGCTTTCACTCTTTTATTTATTAATCTTTGAAAATACCATAATTGCACCAACTTAGGCTCTCGTATAGTCTATTTCATTAGAAATATTGACATTAAAGGAATGATTGAGTATTAGTGGATGAATTATAGCCATTAGGTTGAGAAATTCTTGAATAAAATCACAATTAGAATGCTACTTATTTTCATATTAGTAGTCATAATCTTGTTAATGAATGATCTCACTTGTCAATGTAAATCTTCAATTTGGAAACTTATGGCTTAGAAAGTCTTTCAAAATAATTGATTTAGGTCGTGACAAATTTTAAAGTAAATCGATTTAAATATTATTTAAATATATTCAATTGAATACGTCATATCTCTCTCAATTGAGATTAAGTAAAATGTAGAAATCATACATTTATATTTAATAATTAATTTAGGTTATCACACATACCAATTTATGATTCATTTATAAGATAGCAAAAGTGCATTGCACCTTAATGCTCTAATCAATACCGTTTGAAATTAAATCAATGTGTTCCTGAGTCCCAACTCCAAATTAATGAGGATCTAAAATTCATGAAACTATAAAGAAACATATTCTAAGTAGGGTTATAAGTAAATCTTTGTTTTAACCGTATTTAGAGTCATTTGAATATTATTAGATCTACACATTAGTTTTATTAACTTAAATGTGATTAAAACCACAATATTTATTTATATTATTATTATTATTATTATAACGTTTTTAAATTAAATTAAAATCATTTATTTATTTACTTATTTATTTGCCTTATAAAATTTCACACATAGTATCCTATATGTAGTAATATTTTATTCTATATATTTATTTAAAGATATTATAATCAATTTGAATGAATAAATATATTTATTTTTAGTCTAAAAAAAAAAGAATGTTATAGTCAAAAAGTTGCAAAATATGATTTTAAATGACATTTATGTCATGTCACACAAACAATACAATCTTAGTTTTAAAAAGCTTAATGTAAGTAAGGTTTTTAATCCTTCTTTAGCGTAATAGTAGTTATTAGTGATTTATAAATTCTATCATCATGAGAAGTGTTATCAATATACATTTTTTCAATCCATTATTATTATTATCACTATTAGAAAACTCTGTTTTCCTGCGGATTTGAGTTAAAAATCTGTAGGAAATATATTTCTAACCATTTAGTATTTTTTAAATCCATAGGAAAGTCTGCAGGAAAAAATCTCTGTTAATTCGCAGTTAATATATTTTAAAATTTTAAAAAAATAAATTAAATTTAATTAATAAATTGACTGTAATTTTCCAATTTAATAATTTAATATGAATACTCTTGAATTTACAAAAATATGGCTCCTTTCCACTAAATATATGCATTGGTTCTACTAAATAAGATACACATATATAAACAATAGGGGCGTTCCCCAACTTAGCAATCATGTTGGAACATGTCCATGTTTCAATATGTTAAATTTAAAAATTTCTCAAGTCCCACATTGTTAGAATATTTTTTTGGTTGAAAAAACCATTTAGTCTCACATTGTTCATGTGAGAAATATTAACTATCTTACTTCAGTATATAAGGAGTGCACATGTTTCATTCCAAATTACCCCAAAAACTACTCTATTAGTTTTTCCTTCCTCACTCTCATAATTCTGCGTCTCTCGAATTGTCGAAGCGCCGTCTTCTTCCTCTTTCTTCCTACTCGTTGAATTTTCCGAGTATTTTCTTGAATTCTCTTTAGAGAATTATGTTAATTTCTCATAATTTGAGTTGAGAAATTTTCAAGTTTAATCTTTTGAATTCTCTTTGGAGAATTATTTGAATTTCTCTTTGTTAGAGAAATTATTATGAGTGGTCAAATGACCATTATTATATTACCTTTGGAGAATTCTTTGAGTTTATTTTTGTTTGAGAAATTATTATGACTGGTCTTTGTACCAGATACTACGAGTGGTGTTGATACCATATTTGAATGGTCTTGTACCATCATAGGTGTATTTCTAGACTGATCATCTATCATGCAAGTAGTAATCGTACAATATAGAACTGGGCTGTTTTATCCTGGAGGCGGCGCGGTAGTTTGACTGCTTTGCATAATTTTGAGCAGTGCCGCGAAACGTCTTAAAGAGAGCGACCTAGTCCGCGACTCAACCTGGTAATTTCTTCGGTGGCAAATATTTCAAAATCTGAAACCAACAATTTTAAGATGTTTCGAACTGCCACGGCTACCGAAGAAATTATTGTTTTTTTTGCGGATATTGTCGTTGAGAAATCGTTCATGTTTGAGAGAAGACACTTCAAACGTTGACAACAAAAGATGAAGTTCTAAATGTTGAAAAAGGTTGCTAACGTTTTGATCGATGATATTCTGTTGCTCCTTCTGGATCAATCGAACAAACTAACGGTAGTAAATCTGGAGATTTAGAAGGAACACTTAATAGTGTTGAAGTTGAATCTGTTGCACAGATTAAAGCGAATAATTTACAGCATAGTAAAGAAATCATCTTATAGAAAGAGAATGAAAATCTCTACAAAATCATATTTTGAATAGACTCGCAAATGATCTGTATGATAATTACAGTTGATGTGATACTGCAAAACAAGATTGAGAGACTCGGAAAAAGAAGTATGATGTAGAAGCTGGAGCAAAGAAGTATGTTGTTAGCCGCTACTTCAAGTATCAAATGCGAAGATGTAAGGTCGATGGAGGCTCAATGTTACGAACTTCAAAAGATTTCTTAAAAGATCATCACAAAAGGTATGTGTTTAAACGAACAATTTCAAATTGGTTTTATTGACAAACTACCCCATAATTTGAATGTTTAAAAAAACCAAAAAAGGGAATCTTAGAGACAATATCAAAAAGAAAAAGTCTTGGTTGTTTTAAACAACAAAAAGAAATTCGGTATAGTTCTGAAGCCATTTGGCAAATGATTAAAGAATCAGAACCACAATATTGTGAACCGAATTAAGAATGAGAATCCTTCTATGATCCCAATAGCTCCAACTAGGCAACAACCACCACCTAAAAGAAATGACGTTGGTTTCCCTTTGTTTTAACTATGGAAAATCAAGTCATATGACTAAGAAATGTAGAAGTAAGCTTGAACTTCTTGGTGTTGTCCCTAATGCATGGGTCAACCTGACTAATGGGCAATTTATTGCTATGGTCATTGAAATCAACATGGTTGATGGATATATTGGTTGGTGGATAGACACATGCGTCTCTCGTTGTGTCTGTTATGATCATGTTATGTTTAAACATACACGAATGCTAAAGATAAGAAAGTGTTGTTGGGAGATGGCCAGACCATGAATGTTGCTGGAACTGTAGACACAGAGCTAAATTTCACCTTCAAAAAGACTTTAATCTTAAAGAACGTTATGCATGTTCCTAAGATTAGAAAGAATATTGTTTCTGATTTTCTTTTAAATAAGACATGGTTTAGTCAGTCTATTGGGGTAGATTTGTACGCCATTACGAAGAATGAAGTTTATATGTTTAAAATTTTTGTAAAGAATTTAAAAATGATATAATAAGAATTTACAGTGATAGAGAAACTGTATGATTTTAGTTTATTAATGAATTTTATACATGGAATTGTACACGAAACAACTGCACCATACTATCTCGCAATGAATGGTAAAACAGAAAGAAAGAATAGAACTCTTACTGAACTTGTTGTTGCAATTATGAAGAATTCTGGTGCTGCACCTTACTGGTGGAGGGAAATTTTATTGACTGTTTGCTATGTCCTGAATAGAGTCCCCAAGTCA